AAGATAATCTTGCGATTTCTCGAATACAGACCTTCGCTCTCCTTTCCTGTAGGAGCCTGAGGTAAGAATGGCTGTATCATCAGCGAATAGGAGAAGAGACTCTGATCCTTGCTGTGGGCGGGGGATGTCGCTATTGTAAACTGTGTATAATATTGGAGCAAGTATTGAGCCTTGGGGCACTCCTGCTTGAGGAGTGAATGGAGTGGAGAGGTGCTCTCCTATTTTGATCCGAACCGTCCGGTGAGAGAGATAGGAATTTATTAGTTTAACGAAAGGTGTTGGCAGTCCAGCAAGGTGGAGTTTCTCGATCAAGCCTGCGTGCCAGACTTGATCGAAAGCCTTCTGGACATCGAGGAAAATGCCTACGACGTGCTTCCTTTCATTAATGGATTGAGAAATGAAAGTTGTTGCTTAAACCAATGCATTTTGTGTGGAGTGTCCAGCCCTGAATCCGAATTGGTAATTTGGAATGAGGAAGTGAGCGTCTAGGAATTCTACGAGTCTCTCCTTGAGGATCCTCTCGTAGACTTTACCTAGGGTGCTCAGTAACGAAATTGGTCTATACGATTCAGGGTTGGTGAGGGTTTTCCCTTTTTTAGGGACCATGACGGTGCTGGCCACTTTCCAAGGAATAGGAAAGTAGCTCAGCGCAAGAGATGCATTGATTATATTGGTGAGCAACGGGATAATATTCTGTGGAAGATTTTTGAGGCATCTTCTATGGATGCCATCTGGGCCAGGAGACGTGTTTTTTCCTATTTTACACATCTGACTGACGGTTTCCTCAGTCACTGGCGCCATCATCGGGTGAGGATGTGGTCCGTCAAGTGGCTGAGGGTAATAGAATATATCTTCCACTCTCCGTTCGGTGGCTCTTTTGGATCTTTCACTAAAGTTTGGATTATTGGGTGAAACGAGGGTGGCCTGAAGTGTGTTTTTGAAAGCTTCAGCCTTGTCTTGTGGATTGTTTAGAATGACGTTATTGATTGTGAGATGAGATCGTGGCTGACTTTTTTGTCTTGTTAGGACTTTGAATTTGTTCCAGAATGCAGAGCCATCCCGGTAGTCAAGGTCTGAGGTGACTCGCATCCACTGTCTTGAGTTTGTTCCAGAATGCAGAGCCATCCCGGTAGTCAAGGTCTGAGGTGACTCGCATCCACTGTCTTTGTTTCTGCTTGTTCACCTCGAGTCTTATGACCGCCGAGAGTCTATTGTATTCTGTTTTGATGAGGGGGTCTCTGAATCTTTTATACTCTCTGAGTAATCTACGTTTGGTTTTGATTTGCGCGATGATTTGCGGCGGAAGTGTTGGAGTATATGGATTGTATCTTGTTTTAGGGATAGCCAGGGATGAGGCTTCTTGAAGAAGTTTCTCAACTTTGGAGATCCCTGTGTCAACTTGGTTATGTGTTGACATAATGCCTAACTCAGGAAGGTTTTGATTGACGTGTTCTTGGAAATGATCCCAATTTGCTCTACGATAATTTATCCTATAGATGGCAGGTCTTGGTTGGGGTAAGGAGTTGAAGTCAGTGTTGACTAGAAGAGGAAGATGGTCAGAGGTTATGGAATCACCAATGAAACATTCATCATCCATCCTATCAAGCAGGTTAACCGTGCATAAGATATGATCGACTATGGACATTCCTTGGTGATTGAAGAACGTGACCTCTCGATTGGTGATTCTGGAGATTGGCAGCTCTAGAAGAAGGTCTGAGAGCTGTCTGCCTGGAATATTTGAGGTTGTCTCACCAAATTGAGTGTGCCTGCTGTTTAGATCGCCCATTAGAACCGCCTTGTCTAGTGTGGAAAAATACTCGACAAGGGGTAGGGAAAGGGGTGAGTTTGGATGTTTGTAGTAGGATATTATCGTGATCTTAGTGTTGTCTTGTAGGTGAATGTCAACTGCCAAGAAGTCGGTGTCATGGAGCTGGCCTAATATGTGGGGAGGAGGAGTGTGGGGTGTGGAGGGTATAGAGTGGTGTATTAATAGACCGTTACCATGACTGGACTGGCTTTTGTTTAAGTGGTGAGAGGTGTATCCTGCGAAATTAGGGGGGGTTTTAAGTCGGGTGTCGGTGAGAGAGAGGATTTGTATGTTTTGGGAAAAAAGTGTTTTATTAGTGCTCTCTTTCGACCGACCCCCGAACAGTTGACCGTACCTATTACACAGTTGAATGTAGCGACTTACTGGATGGGAACGAAGGTCATTTCGACCTTATTGTTTCTGGAAGTGGGCACTATTGAGTGCCCAAACATCTTACCCGACAGGTCGGACGAGTACCTTGCTATGGTCTCTCTCCTATCTGGCAGGATGTTCATCAGCAGCGTGGTCGTGAATTGGATCCACAACCTAACGTCTGCTGTGAGTGTCGCAGGAGGAATCCTTCTCTCAGTGGTAAGAGGTTTTGCCTCTTGATGCGAGGAAGGTGTCTCCTGCCTTTTGGGGCATCTAGGTGACCATGCTGGGTGGGTTCCCTTGCAATTTGGGCACTTAGGGTTTTTAAGGTTGGGACAGTCGGCGCTTTTGTGCTCGCCGCTACTGCAATTAGGGCAAGTTGTCTGTCGCGTCCGACACTCGGAAATTTCATGGCTGCTTTGGCAGCATCTGCTGCAGTATTTGGCGGTGGGTTTCATTATGTTGGGGTTGTGAGGAGCCTCACATGGCCTGATCAAGCCATCTGTACAGATGCCGTTGATCAAGGCGTCCGTGTAGTACTCCTCAGCGTCGAGGAACATTCGGACCATTCTGGTTGGCTTGTTAAATCTTTTGGAAATGATTCTATGAAGAGAGTTGAAAGGAAAATCGATTTCAACAAAGCTTAGTCCGAGTTCCTCGGTGGTGATTGTGGTGTCTACGTCACAGATGACGAGATGGAAAGGGGACTTAGTGTCTGGTTGTGTCCTCTTGGTGGAGCGTTGTCGTGAGTTTTTAGGCTCAATAACTATGGCAGGGTCACCAGTTCTGTCCTGAAGCGCCCTTGACATATCCTTAACATTCAAAGTTTTGGATGTTTCCAGATATGCCAACTGGTCTTTCGGCACGAACTTAAGGTTCACCATTACACCCTTGAAGAGTTCTTGGGTGTTGACTCCATCCTTGGAATCCTCCAATGCTTCTTTAAATAGAAACTCGGAGTAAAGATTAAACAGCAGAGGCGACAGAACACATCCTTGTCTAACTCCCCTCCTAATTTCTACTTCTGCGGATGTGGAACCTTCGATCCTAACTCTGGCGTTTTGGTTCCAGTACAAGTTTTTTAAGAATTTGATGTCTTTTCCATCTAAACCGACTTCTTGCAAACGTTCTAATAGTAGGTCGTGTCTTACTCTATCAAATGCTTTTTCGAAGTCTATAAAGCATATACATACATCTTTCTGTTGGTCGTAGCATTTTTGGGCGAAAACTAGTAAACTGAATAAGGCTTCTCTCGTTCCCATGCCGGCTCTGAATCCAAACTGATCGTCTCCGATTATTGTTTCGCACTTTCTATAGATACGATTATGTACGATTTTTAGTAGGACTTTTACTGCATGACTCATAAGGCTTATCAGACGGAACTCATTGCAGTGTTGTGGGTTTGGCTTTTTTGGTAGTGGGATGAATATTGACTCCAGCCAATCTTGGGGTATTTTACCTGTATCATAAATGCGATTGAATAAAAGGACAAATATTTCGATATTTTTTTCGCTGATTAATTTTAACGTTTCTGGGTATATTCCGTCTGGACCTGGGCTTTTATTTGTTTTGAGATGATTAATTGCATTTATGATTTCAGATTTCAGAATTGCTTGCCCTTCGCTGTTATTTTCCAATCTTGGTTCTTCTCGTATGTCTTGAAAAAGAATTTTAATATAGTCTTCCCATTCTTTCAGTTTCTCTTCCGTTGATTCTAGCAGTTTGCCATCCGTGTTCAGCATGGTGTGAAAAGTCGTTCTCTTGTAAACGATGTAGACTCTTTTACCTTTTCCATTGGACTGGCAAATAACCTGTTTTTAATCTTGAATTAAATATATAAGCAATTAAACTAACGCCTTCGTCGGGTAGATTTTTTAGTACTAAACTAGATATTAAGTCATATCCAGGTAACTTTTTAACAGATTTAATAGGTGGAGGGAGCCTTTTGATATGGTGCATTTACGATTTCATGAATAGCTTGCTCTTCTTCAACTGAGACTTTCCTCTGATGGTTGAAATACCTCGCATAGATGATTTGCAAAAGTATATGCTTTGTCTATATCAGTTTTAGCCCAAGTGCCATTTTGTTTAATGATTGGCATATTCATTTAGTCCATGTGTTTTTTTTTAGTTTCCATAGCGAATAATTTGTATCATCTGTAGGTGAGAGTAAAATGATCAGCTTTAATTATTTTATTCGGTGGACAATAAACAGCAGATAAACTAATCGGGCCTTGTGAATCTAATTTTGTTGAAGCAAAACTAAAGTCCCTATATAGATCTTCCCAAAGGTTTGTAATTTGAAATTCGCGAGACTGTATATAAAATTCGCGAAAAGAAAGAGTGAGTGTGAAGGAGTTTGTGTTAAAGGGTCGTTCACAAGATAATTTTTAAAAAATTATAACAAATAAAAAAAATGTTCATCTTTTTGTTTATTTAGAGGAAACGTGGATATTAGTGCATACAAGTGGAAAACATGGTTTTATTGATGGAACCGACCTTGTCTTTTCATCAAAAATGGACCTAGAATAATTGATCAAATGATCTAAGAACATCTGCATTAGAAATATGTGCGGGATAGACAACATAAATTCGTAATCAGATCATCAAATTGACTAGAAAATGCATTTTTTAATAAAAATTGATTGTGTTCATATTTCGAAAAATTAGCCATTTTTACTGTTTTATCGAATTTAATTGATATCTAGGAAACTAGATATTTCTGGGTAAAAACATCATAACGAATGTTAACATTCTGACTGATGCTAAACTGCATTTATTCCAAATTATTTAATTTATAATTCGTTTTATATAATTTTAGGTCAAGGGCGATATGGATCCGTCTGGCGTGGAACAGTTGAAGACCAGGAAGTAGCCGTAAAAGTGTTTCCAGCACATCATCGAAACTATTGTCTGAATGAACAGGATATGTATAAAATGGCAGGTGAAAATGCTGGTCTTATAAAATGTTACGGTGGAGGAGAATATTCTTTCACGCCAGGATCTATCGAATACGTTTTACTTTTGTCTTTGGAGCAGGAAAGTCTTCAAGAATACCTAAAGACTCGTACTTTAGATATTATAACTATGGGAAAAATGAGTTTAAGCATAGCCAAAGGTCTTGCTCATTTGCATAGTGATTTAGGTAAATACTGCATAGCCCATAGAGACATCAACAGTAGGAATATTTTGGTGAGATCAGATTTGTCGTGTTGCATTTGTGACTTGGGATTAGCAGTGATCCCCAAAAGAACCGAAAATAAGTCTATAAGCGAGGCAGGTAAGAAATAATCACTGTAAATAAAAATTATTTTTATAAATTTGGGAAACGATATAAGAGGTTAAAGTATTACTATTAATTATTTAATAAAAAAAGGCGCGTGGCACTTGGAGAGTGTCGACAGAAGTGACTACTTCTTATAGCGCGTTAATACTATGAGTGGGTTTAAGAAATTTTATGTCTGCTTGTTACTGAATTGTTAGTATTTTTTTATAATTTCGCACATTTACGTTTTTCTTTAAAAATTTTGTTTAATGATTGAATTTTCGAAATTTATTTATTAAAAATATATAAATGGGCAATCATACAATAGTAGTATGTATTATACTAGATTCTTATCATGTCTGATTTTAATAAAATTTATAATACACAGTTTTGGTTACAACAAATCGGTCGCCACTCCGGTCCCGTTACAACCGTTACAATCCGTACAAGTTTCCTTGTATAATAGTTTGGTCTCTTTAGGATATGTCACATAGATGGCGTAGTCAGACTAAATATTAAATTAATAATAAAATATAATTGATTATAAATATTATTGGATAGGAAATTTAATTATCATATAACCTAAATAAGACGTTTAAAAATAAAATTTGAGTATAGTTTGAAATTTATTTATAAACAACTAACGTTAAATAAGTATCGGTACACTTCCAGCAAAACTTTAAGACTTTGGTGACATATATTATACCAACGAATACAGGTGCATATAGAAGCACACTTTACTGTCATTTTTTAGTTACGGCTGAAGTAGAACCAAACAGAACAGGATTTTAGTTCCTATTAGGGAGTGCTCATGTGAGCACTATTACTATTTCTAAAATATGAAAGAGTGGAGCAACAAATGAAACTTTATATATTCTCTTATGTAGATGTTGCGTGGTCGTGTGCATATAATATTAATATTTAGCAGAAATTTTTTGCATTTTATTATAGATCAAAGAAAATTATAGATCAAATCCTACTAATGCACGTTTTTTTTTTAGAAAATAAAATACTATTTTAATTTTTAATAATTGAATCTTTTTAGAAAAATATTGGTATTCAAATTTTTAATTTAAATGTATACACATTTACAAATAATACAATTAGAAATATCTTTTTAAATAAAATTAATTAAAAGTCAATCACTGGGAGAGATAGCTCAAAAATTTCTTAGGCGTTTTGATAAAAAACCAATACCTGATCTCGTTAGTACGCTAACATACACCAAAGAATTATTTTTTACAATTTTAAAATTCGAAATTACAAATTATGATTTCGAATATTAAAATTTAAAAAATAAATAAGTAAGTCTCAAACAACACCTCTCTGGAGCTCAACAAAGGAAGATAAGGAAAGAGGCAAAAATGGGTACTGGGACATGGACCATAGCAAATCCCAAGAAAACCAAATCGGCAACACCCGAGGATAAAAAGTGCCTTCCAAATTCTTCAATTACAGTTTGATCAATGCACATGCCCCTACGGATGACAAACCAGAAGAAATAAAAGAATAATTCTTCGAAGACCTAGAGCAAGTCTACAAAAGATATCCCAGAAATGACAATAAAATTGTGTTAGGTAACATGGATGCAAGAATAGGACTAGAGCAAGTTTTCATGTCGATTGTAGGAAGGCATAACCTACACAACATATGTAGCGATAATGGATTACGACTGATAAACTTAGCATCACTAAATATGTCAGTCGATAGTACCTATTTTGGACACAAGAATATACACAAGGTAACCTAGATCTCTCCTGGAGGAAGAACAACGAGTCAGATTACTCACATCTTAGTAGATTCAAGGCATGAAATAAAATGGCAAAGAAAATAAAATGGATATAAAAACATGGAATGAGCAAAGGCTGAGATATCCGACAATTGCAAAAGAGTACTCAGAAATCATCACCAACAGGTTAAGGAATCCAAATGTAAATAAAGAAGGCCAGACAAATATAGACTCCTACTGGACCAGAATAAAGGGAGATATTGAAGCAGCAGCAAAAGAATTGTGCAGATTGAGTAAAGAAACATAAAATTGTGCCCGTAAAAATCATTAGTTTGACGATGAATACAAGAATGCAACAAAAAAAATGAAGCCTACAGAAATATGTTTATTCTACAAACTAGAACAACTGTAGAGAATTACCAGACAGAGAGAAGAGAAGAAAAAAAGATGCTCAAAAGAAAAAAAAAACGAAACCAAATAAATAAATAACTTAAATATATATAAAAAATCTTAACAGAGAGAAAGAATTCAGAGTATTCTGTAAGAAGATTAACATCAACAGAAAAAAATTCGAGGCAACCACAAGGCAATGCAGAAGACAGAATGGTGACCAAGGAAAGATCTAAATATATGGGTAGAACACTTTAACCAGGCACTTAATATGTAACGATAATATTTTGCCTACCACATGGTGTATTATTATAAGGGGTAGAAAATTGGGGACAGAAACTACTGGGAGTGGACATAGGGCAAGCAAAATAATCGAAACATATGGGAACGGGAACTCAGGGTTTGTTAGGAGAGCTGGGGTCGTGGATAAGCAAATCGCAAAGGGCTAGTTGTAATTATCGAAATAATTATTAAATATAAAAAATATATCTTTTTATGTGAAACGCAAAAAAGGGTAGAGAGGGAAATAAACAAAATGGTTAGAAAACAAATTAAACATATATTGTGTCTCACCACAATCAGTTACAAAAATAGACAATGTAAATATATATCAATAGTCGCAAAATACAAAACTAAAAAGAAAAACTTACATGTGTCCTATCCGTTTACAAACTCTGTTGCTACAAAACTTTAAATAAAAAATTTGCAAATAAAAAATGATCTAATTACTATTTATAACTGGGAATAAGCCACATTAAAGATAAAAATACATTTATTGACGTTTCAATTTCCAATTCGGAAATCGTTCTCAAAATACAAAAATTTTTGTATTTTGAGAACGATTTCCGAATTGGAAATTGAAACGTCAATAAATGTATTTTTATCTTTAATGTGGCTTATTCCCAGTTATAAATAGTAATTAATTTACAATGCCACAAGAAAATAGCTTCAGAACAATAATAAAAAATGATCTTTTTAAATAATGAAAGCAATTATATTATTAAAAAATGTTTATCTTGAATTTAAAATTTAAATACAAAAGTTGTCTTTAAATTTTACTAAATTTCACTCGGCATATCTGGGGTCGGGAACTGGATCTATTGGACTTGAAAATTTGTGGGAGAACTGGACTAGGAATCTCTGCACACGAACAAAAGGACTGCTTCAAGACATGGAAGATTGAAATGGGCGGCACTAAATACAAACTTCAAACTGGACTTTAAAAAAAAAACAGGAAACTGGAACATCAGAATTGCTGCAGGCGACACAAATTTCTTAAATACCTTGCAAAATGTGTAGTGATTACTCCTTTCTAAACTGACATATTACAGAGAATAAATTTCACTACATTCAACAAATTTTTGCAGGTTTTTTTGTCAAAACTACATAATGACCCTTGCCTTCGACCAAATCTTTCAACCTCTCATGTTTCGTTACTCTTCTCAACCTGCTTGAATTCCCCTGACCTCAATCTAATACCGGCGAGGGCTACCCTTTCCCTTACCTCTCCAACATAAATTTCTTGTTTTTAAAATAGGCCTCACAAATAGGCTATGTCACAAAGCGACTTTGAAGCAAACTACCTTTTAAATTTGTAGAAAAAACACGTATTATATTGATTATTTTAACGTTCTAGTTATAACCGGACTTTGGAAATCTTCTACCTCACAATGTATACAGAGAATTGGGGGATTTGAATGTAAATAAAGACAAAAATATTTGTATAAAGCTCAGGAGCGAACTACAAAATTTTAAACATAAATATTTCATGGTTAAAAAATTTTAAAACGCTACAATGCCCCTTCTTAAAAGAAAAAACTCGGATAATCTTATCCAGTTTTTGATAAAGGCAAAACAACAAAACCAAAATCAGAAGATGACTTCTTTAATGAGTCGAGACTTCTTAATATCTTTTAGATGATGGCTAGCATGGGACTAAACAACAAAATCAACATTAGTTAAGAAGAGTAGGCTAGCGTGCCATCGATCGCCAGACTCTTTAAAGTCGAGTAGACTGAAATTTGTAACTCTACTTGAACTGTAGGTGACATGAGTTTCTATGCCTTAGGAGATGCTAACCTTATGCTCTGCTGTGAACCTTACTGACATTCACAGCAGTAATACAAGTGATTTGTCGGACAGGCATAGCCATGTCACCTCGTTGCCTAAACCAAATGTGGTACACAAATCAAAATGGCTCTACACTTAGTAGGTAGGCATCTTTTAATCTCCACTATACGCATAGCGATACAAGGAATTCGGCAACGGTTCCACAAAAAAATTAGGATATAGACCCTAAATCTATATACCTACATATTACAAAATGTGATTCTCACATGTGTCTCAAATCAAAATAGGTTACCTGTACTAAAATTATCAAAAGTGAAACAATATTCCAAGAGGATGAAATCAAATCAACATACAAACTCGAAAAAAAAAAGACATGAGATAGGATGAACTAATTACTTATGGATGACATATTGTCCTCATCTGACACAAAAGGCTTTAAATCTGACAAACGATAAACCACTGGTGACAATTTTTCCTTGATGGTTGCTTCAATATACTTCGGTGCTAGTTTGGACATAAACTTGTTGACAGCACAAGACAAAACCTTATTTTTTTCCAAAATCTATCACCCATCTGAAATTGGACTTCTTTTCTACGTAAGTTGTAACTTCTAGCGTTACGTTCATATCCTTTTTGAAGACTAGCCTTAACCTTTTCAAAAACTTTATCTAAACCTTTGATTTCTGAAGCATACATGTTACGGTCACCTGGAATTATCTCAATATCTTGATTCTGTAGATCCTTGTGACCAACACCATAAGAGTTTCCACTTAAAGGAACATGACAGCCATAATTAAGGAAAGCTAGAGTATATCCAGTTACTTCA